CTGGCTTGCTGGGTGTTTAAAAACCAAAAACCTAGAGAACAAAATCAAGGAAGTAAAAGGACCAAGGAAAAGTAGTCAATATTTTGGTCTTTGCCCTCTAAGGTCAGCTGGGACCTGGAACCCCTCTCAGGGACTTGCATCTCTGGTGAGTCACCCAATCAGCAGATCAGGGAAATCAAGGGGACCCCAGAGAACAGAAAGCCAACCTGTTTGCCACATTAGACAGGACTAGATCCCACTCCCTTCAGAATGACCAGTGTACATTCTGCAAAGAGGAAGGTCATTGGAGACAGAAATGTCCCTGATGCTTTCAGGAGAAGCCAAGGATGATCAGTCAGACCCCAACCCCCATCCTGGCAAGTGGCACCACTGGTAGAGGAAAGCTACAGGAGTCAGGAGGCTTCATACATGTCCCCAACAGTGATTTCTGAAGTTGATTCTTTAGATAGGAACAAGGTCAGTTGACCAACTTGGTCTTAAAACACCTGACAGGAGAGTATAGCCTAAAAGCAGAGTCTTACATGGACATTTAAAAGGAAAAACAATGTTTTTTTTTTTTTTAATGTAACTTAAGATGTACACTTGTATTAGTCCTACCAACAGTAAGTAAAGCTGGAGGCTATGAAGGTAAGGTTTTGTGCAAGAGTGCCTAATAATACTAATCACAAAAGGTACAAATTTGTCCTGAGTTAATTTGAGTATGATTTCATAGATCTACAAATCTTCCTAACCTCTTATATTGAATTTGACCTGTTTTTCACTAAGATTGAGTTACTGCCTTTATGGTTTTCAGAGACCAGCTAAAATACTAATTGTTTACAAAAAAAAAAAAAAAGTAATGCCTTGCTATCTTTATTTTTGCCTTACCAAGATCTATATATGCCTTATCCAGTCACCTGCCATCTACACTGTGGATCTCTGGATTGCTCTGATGCTGAATGCCCTTAACTGTCCACACCCTACCTGATAAAGAACAAGGACTTTGGGTTACCTCCTCCCAACTTTGCCCCCTTTTAGCATGAAGTAGCTTGGAGATGTTGCCCACTTTCCATAGAAATAGAATGTAGAAATTGACAGTGGGGAATTGTAACAGGTGTTCTCTTGATGCACTGACTATACTGACAAAATCCCTTGTGGCTTTGAAACTTACATTTTTTTTTTGTTTCCCTTCTTTCCCACTCTTCCCTAAACTTCTACTCCCTGGTCTTCTTTTCCCTAATCTTCTCTTTCTTGATCTCTCCTTTCTATTTTCATTTTCTCTAAATCACCTTTATAAAAGCCCCCTATTCCTGTGGATGGGCAGAATCACAGCATTTGGGATAGGAGTCCCCTGTGTTTCTCTTTTGCTAGCAAAGCAATAACCTTCTTTTTCCTTTTTCTCAGAAGAATAAAAAAAGCACAAAATGCTACTTACTTTATCTGGGAGATAACTATTCTGGGGGGCAAGGAAAAGGGTTTTGACTTGACAAAAAAAGTTTCTCTGAAGAAATGTTGCCTAATTCTATGCCAAGTTAAACATTTAATTAATTAGGTGAGGGCAAGGAGGGTGCTGGCAGCCATGGCAGGAGAAAATAGCAAATGCAAAGGTCCTGAGGATGAAAATTATAGCACTTCAGGAACGAAGAAATCATGGGCACAAAAAAGAAAGAAGCATGGGAAGAGATGTTCATGAAGTTAAAGAGATAAGCAAGTACCAGACCACACAAGACGGTGCAGAGATGTCAAGGGTTAACTCCAGTCTCAAAACAATGGGAAATCATAAAAAAAAAAAAAAGTTTAAACAGAGGAATAACAATCATTTTGCAAACTGATGTACTACACAGTTAAATTTTTGCTAGCATTGTCCTATGTAAAGAATGCCTAAACTGGGCTGGAGCTGTGGCTCAGCGGTAGCAGACCTGCCTGGCACGTGTGAGGCACTGGGTTAGATTCTCAGCACCACATATAAATAAATAAAGGTCTAAAAACAACTAAAAAATAAAAATTAAAAAAAAAAAAAAAGATGCCTAACCAATTTTTCAAGAAATTTGGAAGTAATATTCTTACAAGTATGAGAAAATCAAAGCTATCATAGACTGATCACATTAACTATTAAAAACATTCACTAAAATTTACTTGAATTTAATTTTTTATCAAATCAAGATTTGGATTATAATTGAGCTTTCTATGTAGTGCCTCCTATGTGGAACAGTGCCAGCTATGCACCCTAACTACATAAGACCATTTGACACTTTACATATCACACTAGGAATGAGGAAGTTAATATTCTGCTTATTAGCCAGTTTATTATGATTATATGCTTCTGTTCAATGGTTTATTTTTATGGCCTTTATTTATATTTCTGTCAGCTCAAAAGCACACTCCATCTATAGAAATGCTATGATTTTGGTGGGAAAGATACCAACAATAAACTTTAGTGTCTTTGCCGAGGAACTGGGAAAATAACTAGACTGTGCCCCTTGTAGAATTCATCCCTTTCTGGCTATAGTGACTGTTCCACAGAGCATGCACATGACCTAAACTGGGCCAATTCTCTAGGTTCCAAATACAAAAAGATGGAAGAGAAGCACTCTGATTCTTCCATGAGTAAGCTTTTTAAGCTTATGACACCCCAGAGCAGCTGACAACCAAGCTCTACACCTTGAAGAAGTCATAGAGAAAGCAGAGACTCACAAGAGGCAAAGGTAGTTATGATGCAGTATAATACTTGGGTTTTGTTAAGTCCCTGATACTAGCTTATACCACTACCTTTTTGGATTCCATTACTTTTCCTTTGTTCAATCTAGTCTGAGTTGGTTTTTGTTACCTGCAATCAATATAGATCAAACATCTAATGATATAAAGTTTGAACTGGCTTTCAGTAGACAATATCACTGTCAACTAGGCTCTAAGCATCAACCTCCTGTATAAGAAGAAATACATAGGATTCTTGGGCATATTCCTCCATAAAAACCCTTTAATTTTCCTGATAGTGTCTTTTGTTATTCATAATGCCCCCCCTTTTTTTATTGGTGCATTACAATAATACATAATAGTGAGGTTCAATCTCAATACCACTATCTTTCCTTTCCCTCCCTGACTTATTGCTTGCTCTCCTGCCACTTGTGATCAAAGTTATACTAATAAACTGACTTAAGATGGGGCCCCTGAGGTGGGGGAGGAGCAGTGCTGATCACCAAAAAGACTACATGATTAGGGCCTGCAGAACTTTTAGCTTAATCCACTAACTTCTGGGAAGTTAGTGGATTAAGGTGGAAGGCAGCTGAAGATTAAGCTCTGTGATAAATCTTGAAGGAATACTGATGATCTAGGTTGCTGAACAGGGGTGTCAAAGAGATGGTGTCCTCTTCCTTCATACCTTGCCCTATGTGTCTCTCTGTTCCGGGATCTATATCCTTTGTAATATCTATTATGATAAACCAGTAAATACATTTCCCTGAGTTCTGGGAGCCATCCTAGCAAATTAATACTACTTGTAATTGGCATCTGAAATGAGAAGGATAGAGGCAGTCTTGTGGGACTGAGCCATTAAACTGTGGAATCTAATCCTAAATCTGAATTACAGGACACCCAGGTGATGTCTGCCAAAGAAATGATGTGGAGAAAAATCCCCCAAATAACTGATAGAGAAAAACAGCATATTTTCAACAGTATCCCTACAGGAAAGAAGAAAGGTATATTCCCAGTAAGAATTTATAATTTTTTCAGGGGTTAGACATACTATATACACAACAAAAGATTAAATGCAAATTCTGAGGATTAGGGCAGGGAAAAACTGCAATGTATTAAAAACAATAGGAATTAAGAATTAGGATTCCAAAGTCCTCTTGTGTTTTGTGATATGATATTAGCTTGACAAGACTTTTTCAGTCAACTGCAATTTCTTTAAATTGCGAATGCAGTACATTTTTTCTAAAGTTGTCTGAAGCACTGACATAACTGCATTATTTTGAGGCTATAAAAGCATACTCCTCATATTATTATATGTTAAAAAAAAAGTGTAATTTAATTTTTCTTGGGTCTTAAAACATGTAGTTCTAAGCATCACTACCACAAGCAAGGGGGCCCTCCAAATTAAAAAGTGAACATCAAGAATGAGTATCTGTAATAAACCAAATGTTCTCCTAACAAAAGGGGGCTTTATTTTCCCAATTACCTATAATATACTTAAAACTCCAGGAATTTTAGACTTCTTTCTTGTTCCTACCAAAGCATAACTGAGATCCTTATCCTGTTAGAATTTAACTCCAGAAAATTCTAATAGTTTCCAATACCATAAAATATTTGCAACAGATGGAAAAAACAAATCCTAATACAAACTTTAGAAATAGGGTGGAGTAAAAAGAACCCCGAATTAGAATATCAGGAGACCAAAGTATAAACAATTTTACTCTCAATATTAGCTTTCCTCTAAAGGCAATACTTCTGATTAAATGAGCTAGCTTTGTGATATTTTATTCTCTTAGTCAGTTTTTTGTTTTTGTTTTTCCTAAAAACAAATAAATACTTTGGGAAACTATTTGAGTACGCACTTCCAAAGTATAGGCCCCAGGTCTATCCCACGTGTGAATCCATGTGTCCCCACAGTGAATAGTTGACACCGGAGACATTTCTCAAGCTGAGATTAAAAACAACTTTACCCGTCGCTTAAAAAAAGAAGAGAAGAGAAAAAGGAACAAAGCTTTCCACTGCTCTGGCAAAAATGATGAACCTTACTCCGACTAAATCCTCAAACACCGAGTCCGGGGGATCAGGGATTGCTTTTCCTCATCCCATCACAGTAAGTACACCAGACGCAACCCGCCTACCGGGTCTCCGGAGGAGACAGAACTGCTCAGAGCCGTGACTCTGAGACGGAGGTCCCGCCAGAGGTCCCGGGACGCCCTCGGAGGCCACGGCGCTCCCACCGAGGTGGAGGCTGCGACCGCTGGGGCCTGGGGTCGCACCTCGGCCAGAGCCACGGGGGAGGCCTGTGCGCAGCAATCGCCGGACAGACTTACCTCGGCGTCTTCTTTGCACTGTGGGAGGGAAGGGAACTCCAGCTTCACGTCCTCCATGGTCCGGACCCGCGGGCTGCTGGGTGGGGTGGGAGGATGAGTTACCCTGCCGGCCAGACCCTCGGGCTGGCAGTGGCGGCGAAAAGAAAGAGGGCCGGTGGAGCGTAGGGTTGTCCGATGGGCGGCGGCTCACAACTAACAGACGCAGACTAGAGGGTCGCAGTGACTCCTGTGGCGGCGGCGGCGACAGTAAGGAAAAGATGGGCTGTGCGGCTCCCTCCCAGCCGCCATGCTGCTGCTGTCTCCCTCCCCCAATCTCCGCGCCCCCCTGGCAGCCCAGGATCCGGCACTGGCTCGAGCCCTACAACCGTCTCCTCTCCCTCCTCCACCCCCACCCACGCTGCCCTAGCCAATCCCTGCCCACGCTCTCCTACGGCCCGCCCTCCGCCGCCGCCAGGTGTCAGCGCGCCGCCGCCCTGCCCCGCCCCTTCGCGAGAGCGCAGACGTAAGGGGCGGGGCCTCGGGGCGTTCGGCCGTGGCTCGGCCCGCGTGGAGGGACGGGCTGCAGTGGGAGGGGGCGAACGCAGGCCGGGGGTAAGTAGATGCTCAGAACCAGCCCTACCTCTGCAGACAGGACGCAGGTCCCCTAACAGTCAACATATCCTACACAAGAGAAACTGGCACCCAAAAGGAGAACTAGTTGCTCCTCTCAGAATTCTGCATTTCGTCGTGAAGTTATAACCCAAACTGTAAGAGTTCAAATTCATGTTATGCTGCCAGAAAAAGAAACACCTGTCACCTTTAAACAAGTAATTAGAATTGTGGACTTCCAAGAATGCTAGGGAATATAACTGTTTACCTACAAAAATCCCAAAAATGACAAATAGAAAGTCATTGAAAACGAAACAGATAAATTCACCCTCAATAGATTACACATAATACAGTAAGGTTTCTCCCTTGATAATATTAAACTACTTGACTTCAAGAATCTTTTAAAAACGAGTTTCCGCTAAAGTTAATATCACATTGTTAATAAGGGTTAGGTATACACTTTCTCTAGGCCTAGGGAGATACTACCATCCTTTTTGTTTTAAACAGATTGATGGATCCCAAGGTAGAAAAGCAAAGATTTATACACCTACTTGGTTGTTTTAAATAAAACTACCACCAGCATAAAAGTAAATAGGCAAAATTAACAAAATGCCAACCACAATAGATAAAAGTGAAGGGATTACAAGAAAATTGACTTAGACCAACCCTTGCATTTTATTACTTTTAATAGTCATATGTATGTAATGCACTGCCCATAGACGGAACTGTTGAGCAATTTGAGTGTTACATGGCCAGCCTGAGTGTCTCATGTTCCCAATCACCATATAAACTGTTCTCCACCTTTAAATATTATAAAAGGCACATAATACCCTCCCAGTACTGTATTTAATTTGAAGAATGCGTTTATAATTAACCAGGCCATTTATCATCACTTCTTTAGTGTTTGTAAAACTGAAGTTGTCTTTTTTAAAACAGCAATTTTAATTATAATCTAAATTAATCCCCAAAGATGATTTTCTTGTTTAATGTTAAAATTTTATTGCCAGATACGAGAAAAAAAATTGTACATAGGTAACAGAACTTTTGAGCATTTCTGACATCAACATTCCCTACATTAGACACTCTTAGCCTTGCATTCATGGATACTTACAGAGTCCAAGGGTGAGCTTAGGAAATAATAAATCTCCTAAAATTATAGTACATGTAAAATTGTGTGAATTTCTCTGGGAAGAGGATGTAAACTGTAACATTCTCAAAAATGAACTATTATCTCACAGAGACAAACAAGTCACATTTATTAATTATTAAATATTACTTTAAATCATAATCTTAAAAATTATGAATGTTTATGTACTTTTAAAATTAACTATCAAATAGCCTAATCACAATAGGTAGAGAGTAAATACTTTCTTGAAGGAAGCATATATATATAGACATGCCCATTCATGGTATATATAAAAAGATGGTATATATCAAAGATGACACTTATAATGTGAATACAACTTTAAAATAAAATTTTAAAACCAACATTACTGAGTGTGGTAGTGCATGGCTGTAATCCCAGTGGCAAAAGAGGCTGAGGCAGGAGGATTGCAAGTTCAAAGCCAATCTCAGAAACTAAGCAAGGTTCTAAGCAACTTAGTGAGATTATCTCATTTTAAAAAAATAAAAAGGGCTAGATGTGGCTCAGTGATTAAGCACCCTCAAATTCAACCCCTAGTAACAAAAAAAGAAAAGAAAAAGAAAAAGGAAAAAAAAAAAAAAAACACTACGAATTGCAACATCATCTGAATTATCAAAATAAAGTTTACTGCTGTGCATGATGCTGCACACCTATAATCCTAGTGACTTGGGAGGCTGAGGCAGGAGGATTGCAAGTGCAATGCCAGCCTGGGCAACTTAGCAAGACCCTGTCTCAAATGAAAAAATAAAAAGAGCTAGGTTCACCCTAGCTCAGTGATAGAGTGCCCCTGGGTTCAATCTCAAATACCCACCAAAACACTAAAATAAAGTTTATGTCTGAAGGACCCAAAGGAACACAGTAAATATACTCTTAGAAATGACAAGAATATAGGTGGAACTAAATCAAACAGATTTTATTAAACTTTGTTAGAATGAGGAAAACAAATGATATAAAATAAGTCTTAAGAAATGCTCTCTTGTACTACTATCTCAAACTATTTTTCAGTGTTTTACAAAATGCTCATATGGCAAATACGAAAAGCTTCAACACTCTTCTTTTGTAACTTTTGCTGCAATAAATGCAACATTAACAAACATACAAATTTCTTCTGTGTCAATTTAAAAAGTTGAATTACTGAATTACATACTAATTTTTATGTTACTCATACATATTTTATTCATTCACATTTAATGAGATCATTGCCAATACGTACATTATTTTCCTTAACTTTATTTTTACATTAAGTCAATGTCTGTCATGCAGCCATCCAAAACCTTACAATAAAATTACACAGGTTTGTAGTCCAATTTAGATTCTAGCTTCTTAGAATCAGCCACTTTTCTGACTGCTTTCATGAAGTCTTCTTGAACTACAAAATCATGATCAGCACGAATTGCAAACATACCTGTGAAGAATAAACAACATGATTGCTATATACCATATGTGAACTACATATTCATTATAAGAAAACTAAATAATGTAAATCTATGGAATAAATATGAAGGAAACTAGATTTACTGCTTCTGAGTCAGTAGTTCTAATTTGTTAAAAACTATTCTTGCTCAACTGAATTCCACAGCTATGGTGAGCATCAGTTTTCAAATAAAAAAGATGAGACAGTTGGGGCTGCGCTTATAGCCTTTGCTCGCCTAGCATGCATGAGGCACTGAGTTCAATCCTCAGTACCACATAAAATAAAGGTATTCTGTCTACGTACAACTAAAAAATATATTAAATTTAAAGATGAGATAATTACATGAATATTTAAAATCTGGCTCACATGGTCTCTATATCCAATGTTAGCTCTTAGTAAAAACAAAAGCAAAAAACCCCAAAACTATCAACAGCAAATACATTCTCAGCATTAGTTTCTTAATGCTATAGGCAGTGATTCTTTGGAAGAAAGAAGTACATTTATGAATAAAACAAAACACCTCCAGTAATTTTCATAGCCATTCATTGCAAATAATCAAAGGATTAGAGAATGGGAAATTATAAGAAGCAAACAATAGGCTTTAACAAAAAATCAGAACCATTAACCCATCGTCAAATACTATTTGACAAAGGAGTAAACTTTTTTGTTTCTTTTCTAACAGTAGTTATGTTATAGTTATGGGTCCTGGATTTTGAGACAATCATACTTTCATGATGAACTATAGCTGATATGGTGTCATTATTTACGAATTACATGAATCATACTAACGTGTTTCCATTGAGGATCTGCTTGAATTAAATTGTCAAGAATATAAGAAGGTTAGAATAGAAGATTTCAAGGGTTACTCCCTATCATTTCTTTCTGGATTTCAATATGAAGAGTCTTTGAAATGCTCATTTTATGTTGTCCTAAAATCAGGTGAAAGGAAATGACTGTTTTGTTTTTTTAATAGACAAGTTTCAAAACTTGCTTAGAAAGCTACAACTAAATTAGGTAGGCTATTTGTATAAATCTTATGTGTATGACTGTTTTCAAATCACCATTTAGAGAATGAGTGAATCTGCAAAAGACATAAATAAAACATGTTAATGTTAGGACTTGAATGGAAAAGAAAACTATAATTGAAGCAAGTATATATTAACTTAAGGAAATATGTAACAAAAAAGGCTTAAAGTCTAATAAGAAAACCAAACAAGAATTCTTATATCTCCAGATGTAAATATGTTCCCCAGAAAAATCAAAATTTTTCTGGATGAGGTGGCATACTCCTGTAATACCAAATTCTCAGGAGGCTGGGGCAGGATCTCAAGTTCAAGGACAGTCTCTGCAACTTAGCAAGGACCTGTCTCAAAAATTAAAAAGAACTATAGCCCCAGTGGTAGAGTACCACAGGTTTCAATCTCCAGTCACACAAAAACAAATGCTAAAATTTTAATCCATACAGAAGTTATAATTCTTTGTCAGAAATAATATAAGAAATTTTTTAAATATGCAAAACAAAACCACAATTAGATATTATCTCATCCCAGTAAGAATGGCTATTATCAAAAATATTAAAGATAATGAGTGCTGGCAAGGATGAGGAGAAGGAACTCTTGTACATTACGATGGGAATGTAAACTGGTGAAACTATTTATAGAAATCAGTATGGAGTTTCCTCAAAAATTAAAAATAGAACTACCACCATATGACCCAGCAATCCCACTACTGATTATATATCCAAGGGAAATAAAATCAGTATATCAAAGAGACATTTGCACACCCATATTTATTGATGCACTATTTAGTTATCAAGAAATGGAAACAACTTAAGTGTCCATCAAGTTAGGTGAAACAAACCAGGCACACAAACACAAGTATCGCATGATCTCATATGTGGAATATAAAAAAATTCATCTCATAAAAGTTGAGAATAGAATGGTGGTTACCAGAGGCTAGGGAGAATAGTGGGCAGGAAGGGATGGGGAAAGGTTGATTAATGAGTACTATGTTACAGTTAGGAATAAGAAGTTTTGTTGTGGTATTATACAATAAGTGATTATAAGTAACAATTAGATACTGTGTGTTTCAAAAGCTAAAAGAATTTTAAATGCTTTCATCATAATCAAATGAAAAGTGTTTGAGAGAACCTGATCTAAACATTATGCAATGAGTATGTATTAAAACATCACATAGTACCCCGT